CTGTCAGTCCTGCGTGCTGCACAATAACATTCAATATTTAACATCTACTGTTAGCTAGATTATTGTGATGCTGTTGTGTTTGTTGTGCTGCTCTTTTTTTGCTAGTTTTCTCTGTTTTTCTTTCTCTCAACAGGTGATCCAGGTGAAAAGTGCCTTTTCTCCCTCTTCCCTCTGTTTTTCTATCTTTCCCCCAGTCATGTCTGTCCCGTCTGCAACAACTGAAAATAAAATAAATACATAATAATTAATAATAATAATAATAAAGGTCAATCAAACGGACCACTATGGCTGGGCCGTGATGATCCACTTGGTGAAGGAAATCTGTTCACTGTGATGCTACAGAAACGGCACAAACACGGACGGAGCCTCTTTGGCTGACACGGGGAACATCGAGCTTTGGTCCTGCTCACTGTTAAAATCTCAGACTGCTGACAGTGAACAGGAAGATGAGGCCAAACATGAACAGCCAAAAACACTAACTCGTCCACGCACACGCAGACTGGCAGCGTGCCCACCAACTTCTCGTGCTCACACAACAGATGTTTTCAAATCAGTCCTCTCGAAACTCCTTTACTTCATTCTGGCGGAATGTCAAATCCCAAGTTAGCAGAAGTCCCTCCATGCAGCGAGTCATGCGTGGCGTGGGTAATGTAAACCTCACGGGGCATCGTGAACACGCAGTAATAGATGGAGGCATTGTGAGGAGCAGACAGAAGAAACGCGAACTTCGTGGAGAGTGCGCGTTTGTGTTTCTGATGGCGTCATCCCTCACAGACTGTCCACGGAGAGCAAAGACACGACGCGTCTGCCGTGAAACTAACAGATGGTTTGGTTCCTCTGAATATTTGCCACGACACGGACTCCTGTTCTAAGACTGCTCCTGAAATCTGAGGCAACATGGAAGCATCAGAGTGTCCGGGCTCCTCCCAGCTCCTCTACAGACCCGTTTAGCCTCTCGTCATCAAACATCTTCATCACAACATCTTCATCACAACATCTTCATCACAACATCTCATCACAAGTTCACCAAACTGCCGCCGTGTCTGTTTTAAACGCTTTAAAGCGTAAAAATCACGGAGGCGGCTGCGGTCACAGTAACGCTCCCCGCGTCTTTCTTCGTGCTGGACACGAAGCAAAAAGTTCCCGAGCGCCGGGAACAAGTTCGGGAACAAGTTCGGGAAGGTTCGGCGCGTTCAGACAAACAAGAGGACCGAAACTTTGTTTCAACTCTCGTGTTCGGCCCACAGTGAGACCCCGACAGGCCCGTGGGCTTCTAGCATCCACACAAAAGTCTGAAAGCGAAGGAAACGTGAAGACGCGACCGCAGCACTTACTTTGCTCTTCACCTCAGCAGACAGGCCGTAGGCTGGTCCCTTATTAAAGTGAGTCATCGTGGCGCGTTTGTAACCCACGGGATTCCTCGCAAAGTCCGCGGAGTCGTCTGTGGAAAAAGCGGATTCTCAGCGACTGTTTCGGGAGCTGAAGTAGCGCAGAGCTCGGTCAGCCCCCCGCCTCTGTCCCCTCCCCTCAGTATCAGCTGCATCCTGAAAGCCCCGGAGGAGTACACTTCCACACATGACCACAACTTTCCATACCGGGATCGTGTTTAGGAATCCTGCTGAAAACAAAACGCTGGTCCCACAGAAACACACGGATCTCACCCGCTCCCCGCCGTGGAAGCAGAGGCTGCGCGTGGGCTTACTAACAGGCCTCGCTGCGTTCAGCTTTATGAGACACGCGCGTGTACTGTCAGGGGAAACATGCTAATCCACGCGCACTGTGGTCATGCTGGAATGTGTGGGTGGACATGGTGCATCTTCCTCCTCTCGTGCAGTGGCTCGGTGTGGGCTCCACAGCATCACACGTGACGCCACGTCGGACAGATAACATCAACCTCCGCAGCGACGCGCAGGTGCAGCAGTTTCACCTTTACTGCGTTGTTTTCTGAGTCGTTTCATAGTCGTGAGAGTAAATAACGAGACAAACAACTCAACAACACAACATTTATTCATCACACAACAGGAATGAGTCCGTGTGGATCCGACACTTTCACACCATTCTTCCCAGGAAAATGGATTTGGGGTATTTGTCCCTCAGAGACGCCCACTGTACAAAGAAGTAGTCGGATACAGGATACAGGATCTTCCCAGTGAGCGACAGCGTCTGCACACGGCAAATACTCTCAGCGTAAACTATCAGGACTTTCTTTATTCCCAGAATTCCAAGGAGGAGTCCTGCTGCACAAAGGGGAATGCACGTTCCCGGGCCGTTACACAGCACCTGAAAAAACAGACAGGGGAGGGGCGAGCACACATCCGTGGAAAGAGGTTATTCCGTACATCTGTTATAAAACGGTGTGTCATGTGACAAAGACGGGCTCATTCTGGATCGGCTCGGTTCCCGTGTGCACTCCCTGTCATCACAGGACGAGCGCAGCAGCCTCTGTCCTCAAACCTGACCTCCTCAGATCCTTCAGTAGAAACTGAGAGTCAGAGAGGGCACACGGGAAACCGGACACGTCCGGTGCATGTTGGGATTGGGAGCTTACCGAACATATTTAAGGCCAAAGCTGAGCTGAACGTCTCAAACCACAAATGTATCTGAATGTTTCAAACAGATACGTGTTTGACTCACGAGGCCTGCGTTCAGTGAGACAAAGGGAGGGGCTCGAGTAAGTGCGAGGCCTCAGGACTGAAGGAGGCTGATGGAGTTTACAGGAGAGCTGCCGTGGAGTCTGGAGAAGTAATCACACAGCTCTGCATGCACAGAGCCCCACTCTGCAGCAGCTCACACCCACACCGTTCAGAGTCTGTTTCCCTGCACAGACGTTCTTACAGCAGCAGGGCTGCAGCGATAAGTTCATCAGAAAATAATCCTTCGCTTCGACGCTTCGTTTAGTGCTCGGCTCCGTCGCCACGCAAGCGCCAGCGTTTCAGCTGCGACTAAAACAGACCTGAAACTTCCAGCGTTTGAATAGAAGCAGATTCTCAGCAGAAACCAGTGAGAAGCCGTTTCCTCTCTTTACTGTTGCTCATTAATCAGACAGCAGTATTTGTGACTCAAATAAACATAACGATGAATATTCTGTTGGTAACACGCCTTCAGCTGCAGCGTGCTAACCACCGCTGTGTGACGCTGCTCACTACAGTCCACTCACCATGTCCGGTCTGAGCCTGAACACCAGAGGCAGGGAGTAGCGCAGGGCGTTGAGAGTGCTGACGACGGACGAGCTCCAGGACTGCTGCACCTCACGGCTGCGTGGGACCCGACAGATGGTGAACTGAGGAACAAACACATTCGTCTTACATCAGATGTTTGAATGGATTCACTGAGCTGTAACCTGACAGGGACTGAAGACAAACAGAAGCCAATCACACACAGGAGGAAGTGCTCTGTAGATGCATAAACACAGTAACAGGACTTCAGAAACGCTCGGGGCCAACAGGCCAAACTCTCTGCTTTGCTGAGGTGCTCTTTGCCTGGTAGTGGAGTGTTGTCACAGTGTGATACTTTCCTGAAGGAAATAAGTAACTCTTCCAGTGTGTGAGCCTGCTGCTGTCAGGATGATGCAGTCATGTGGGAGCAGGAAGTCCTCTGCAGCGTCCGGCGGTGGCACGCTTTACTGTATCTGAACCTCTGCGCTGTGCTTGGGTGCAGCTGCTGGGCCACAGAGACCCACAGAGCTCAGTGAGCTGTGACTGTGCATCACCACGCTGCTGTCATCAGTAACACTGAGTGAAAACCAAAAGTTCATCATGCGTACCTGTGAGTCCGACTGCTGTTTGAGGCTTTCAAACGTGCAGATTTTCTCCTCGCTCATCCGGTCTGTGTCTGCGATGACATAGTGTCGAGGTGTGTAGGCTGCAGACGTGCACTGCAGCAGGTGCAGGACCTCTGTGGTGTGACCACCTACAAGTCAGGAAGAAGCACAGCACCAGTTACAAGGTTAACCACGACCTGGAGGACACTGAACTCTTACATCACTGACTGTTGGACGTCCTGTCTGCTCAGCATCTAGGACCAACAGCTCCATAAAGCATCATTATCACTTTGAACTTCACATCAGTCTACTGACCTTAAAGAAGAGGTCAGAGGTCAAATGTGACATTACATTATAAATGCTTTATCATAGTTTATACGTCATTCTCACATCAGCAGGTTCCCATAATGACTACAAACTGTTTCTAAGACGACTCCAATCTCCCCAAAACAGCCGAGCCCCATCAGACCTCAGACACCTCTGAGTATCCGGTCGTTCAGTCTGACGTCACTAGCCGTGTCTGGGCCTAAACTCCGCTGCAGGTCCATATATCAAACATCACTATGGCATTACTGAGAGTTAAAAACTGTCTAAAGTCTTTCATCTTTAATAAAATGATCAGCGTTCTGCTCTACCAGGTGTAACAACTGAGTTTAACATCCAGGCATCCATGAAATTTAGCGGAGTTAGAAGTTAGCAGGAAGTTAGCTCGCTAGCTTCTATCTAAATACAATATAGCATGTCCTGACTGCGGGGTTTTG